TTCCTCCCGGAGGGTTTGTGCATACATTTTTAATGCATGTATTGTGGTGTTGTGTAGTGTTTTCGACCTGCTTTTGGGAGTCAGCATATGTGGAGGGCCGACCAGTAGTTATATGTGGATTTTCCAACAGTGTGGGAGTACTGTGTCCCTAACCTACTGTTGTTCAAGGGTAAATGTAATTATTTCCTTACACTCAAAAAGAGGAGGCTGTTACTGAATAAGCAGAGTAGAAGCTTGAAGCAAGAGAAGAGAGAAAAGAGAAAACGGGCTCAGAAGATTTCTTGAAACTTTATAACTTTGTCTAAAATTAGTTCCTATACCTTCAGCTGGGCAGAAGGAAAATAGGCATGCACAGAAGTATTTTTGGCATGCAGCTGTAGTTCCAGCTATCTCTACTTCATCTGATTTACAGGCTTTGAGGGTATTGTTTTGGGGGTCTTATTTGGTCTGAGAGGATTTATTAATCTAGATGTAGCTGCAGTTATTTTAAAATATATTTAGTCATTGAATAATGGACTGATTATTAGGAACTTTTTAGATTCCAATGCATTTTTTTATGACCCCAACTTGGAAATATGCAAGAGCTAGTTCAAAAATAAAATGATCCAAGTACTTATTGGCCCAAGTAAGATAAGCTAATTATATTGTAAATTTCTAAATACTATCATACTATGAAATAAGGTGGAGTCCCATGTTCTTTACCAAAGTTAAAGGGAAGAAAGACTAGTGGTCCTTTGATGACAGTGATGCAAGTTGCCTGAGAGTGTAGAGGCCCCTTCCCAGCCCCCAAGAGTAAGTACTGAGGCAATGGCTACTCTGCATTGTTTCTACTATCAGCATCTGTAGTCTCTCAGGTCTGGATGGCCCTAGGAAGGTGAATGGTGGTAGGGGAAAGTGGTAGGTAGGGTCCCTGGAGAATTTAAATTTTATATTATTTTTAATTTTAGCATTTTTATGTTTTGTGGGGAAATACAGAAATTGAGAGGTTCAAGATAAAAGAGGAGAGGTATTTAATAGAATGCAGCCCCTGTAGACAGAAGAGAGGCTCAGGGAGGACCCAGAGGACTGGTGAGTGAGCATGCTCTGACCTGCTGGGATGTGAGGAACTGAATGAGTGTGGATACCGATGGCATTTTTGGTAGCTGGGGCAGGAAGTCAAGAAAACTCTCCTAATCTGTATATTTTTTATGAAATAGGATGTGAGGTTGTGTATCAAGAGCAGGAAGTGTGATGGGTGGGAAAGGTGTCTCGAGGAAAGGGGTAAAAATTGAACCCCCTCTTCCTTTTCATCATGATGCAGAAGGATATACAGGCCGCATGAAGACTTGACTGAGATTAGAGGTCATGAATCTGTAGAGCATTAAGTTTCACATTTTTGTTTCTTCTTAAGTAGCCCATATGAAAAATGTGGATGGCTAGAAAGATTTTCTGGTGCATAAAAGGGAACGACAATGGGGTAAAGGAATAGGAGGCATTAGTGAGTGACGGAAGTGCTGTTTCTCAGGGTTAGGCTGAAGAGGGAAGGAAGCTGAATAGGAGAAATGTAAGTCTACATGAGATAAAGGAAGAGTGTGGGGGCCAGGGATGAGAGGCTGTAGCTAGGGTGTGCAATGTTAGATGTAAAGTTTATAGAATATCTATGAAGATAAAGGTGGAAGGGGCTCTGGGGACTGCTGCTGCAGGGTGCAGCTGGGGACGAGGGTGACTGAAATGAAGTGATGGTGAAAGTTACTGAGGCTGAGGTTGCAGACACCATGACATCCTGGCTGATGCTCACAGCAGTCATGTAGATGGGGCTCCTCCCACCTCACGCAGAAGTCAGGTCTAATTAAAGCTTTGTACTTTGTCCAAAATCATCCAGCTTACACAGGGCAGTTTCACTACTAGAACTTCAGTTAGTGGTGACAAATATCACTGTTCATAGGCATTCAGGGATTGTTTCTAATTATTTGGGGTGGGGGAGGCTGGGAGGGTACAAATGCTTTTAATCCTAATTTAGGTGCATCACTGCAGACTGAACAATTATTTAGAAAGTACTTGCCTCTGTCCTTACCAAAACTGGGAAGCACCAACAAAGACTGAGTCTGCTAATCCAGAAATGCAGTAAATTGACCTAGATAACTCCTCCTCTCACCTCTGTTGAAAATAAGCAAAGGAAACCTCATTTAAAATGGAATCAGGAAGCTTTGAAGGGGAACCTCTCATGAACTGCCACCCAGACCCCAAACAGGAAAACATACCACAGCAGGAGGAAGAATTCTCCTAGGCCAGCAAAACACTTCCACCTTTGTCAATATTCATTTACCTGAACCTCTTTAGCCTGTTGCCTGGTTACATCCTAGCCAATGAAAAAATGCTACTACACTCAGCCAATGAGAAAATTGAACTCTTGGGAAAAGCCCCCCCCCCCCCCACACTTTCTTCTGCCCCCCCATCCCCCTATAAAACAAATCTTTCTCTGTTCTTCAGACTTGCTTGTGGTTCACCATACTTTTATTGTCCCAAGCTGCAGCTCTTCTGATATTCCCAAATAAACCCATTTTACTGGTAAAATAACTTCATTTTTTTTGTTAAGGTCAACACATTCCATATCCTGTTAATCTTTGGGGTCTAAATCTTGAATTCATCTTTCTACCTACTTAGTTTAGGCCCTCAGCATCTGTATTCTTTCCCTATTACTGCTTCACCATTCGAAGGGTTAAAAAAACACAAACCTATTATTTTACAGTTCTGTAAGTCAGAAGTTCAGGTGGGTCTCACCAGGATAAAATCAAATGTCAGTAGAGCTGAGTTCCTTTCTGGAGGCTCTAATGAGAGGATCCATTTCCTTGTTCAATGGCAGAATTTAGTTCTGTGCGGTTGTAAGAATGGGATACCCATTTTTTTGTTGTTGTTGGCTGTGGCCCATGCCTAGCTTTTAGAGGCCACCCACCTTCCTTGGCTCCTGATCCAGGTTGAGTTCCTCTCATACTTTCAATGTCTCTGACCTACTGCTCTTCTACTTTATGGAACTGGTGTGATTAGATTAGATCCACCCAAATAATCCAAGATAATCTCCCCATCTCAATGTCTCTAACCTCAACCACATCTGCTAAGGCATTTTTGCCATGTAAGTTAACATATTTCTAGGTTCCAAGGATTAGGGGTTGGACATCTTTCTAGGAGTCATTATTTTGCCTAGCACTGTATCCTGTCAAAATTTATGACAGAGAGCTTAGTCAAGACAGAACAATTAGGAGGGCCTATGAGAAGTGCTGTCACACCTGTGTCGGTACAGATAGCCCAATGGGAAGACCTCTATGCTTACAACAGAGCACTATGGTTTTAACAGCCCCTCCCTTTAACTTTCTTTTTTCCCCTCTGTAAAAGAGTTTCTTGCTGCTTCTTGCTTTTTCTGTGGCTTCTTGCTTTTTGCACGTGGCTTGCCTTGTCTGCACATATGCATAGGATTGCAGTCCTTTCTCCCCTGCCCCAAGACAGCCATGCACTGCACAGTCCTATTTCAGTCAACACCCCACCACAGATACGACGGTGGTCCCCCAAGATTACAATGAAGGTGAAAAATTCCTGTGCCTAGCTACTTCACAGCACAACTCATTACACAAATATGTATCATCGTGTTCCAACTGCCTACAGTATTCAGTGCAGTAACATGCTGCATAGGTTTGTACCCTACAAGTTCTAGGGGAATAGAATTTATCACCCCAAAATATTTCTCCTTGGCATATTGATTATTTTAGGCTGGTTAATTTTAAGAAATAGCAGACATGAAAGAACCTCTGAAAACCAAGTAGAAGTTACACTTTGTAAAAGGCATTTACTCATGTAAGGGAAATTCCATTTGCAAGGGTGTCTCCCTGGCTGTACCAGGAAGAGTGGGCACCATCCTGTGTCTAGACAGTCTTATTGATGCAGAAGACAACAGGGTTACAGTGTTATCATCGTTTGCTGTCCTTTTTCTGGTAACGTCCCGTAACTGACTCCTCTACCCCCAACATATTCTTTTGTCTTCAGCTGAAGATGGTAGTTAAGGTAATGGTTTCATCCATTTTAAGTTTACTCAGTTTTCCTGGGTTCCTTCCATGTATCTAGGACATACACATATTATTAAACAGTTTTTGTTTCTCCCTGTTAATCTGTCTTTTATTACAGGGGTGTATCAACCAACAACCCAAAAGGGTAGAGCAAAAATTACCCACCCCACCTTCCATCCACAGAGCAATAGGCTATACCATGCAGATGAGGTGTGTGAGGCACGTAGCAAGCTATACCATCTAGGTTTGTCTAAGTACAGGCTATGATGTTCCCACATAGACAAAACCACCTGACTGTGCGTTTTTTAGGCTGTATCCCTGTTGTTAAGTAGCACATGACTCTAAATCTTGCTTGGTGACAGAATACCTAGTCAATTTTTGTTTATGGTTAACAGTCCCAACTTGACATATTTTAATAACTTCATAAGTAAGTTTCACGGCTCTGGCATTCTGTTTTCAAATTAGCCTTTCTAGAACAATATTTGATGTGTCTCCCATGTTTAAAATCCTGTCGTTAATTTGACCCTTTCCACTAACCAAGGGTCAAATTAATATTCTTCAGCTCCTATAGGAAGAAAATACTTGGATTTAGTATTCTATTTTTTTATTTTTTTGCTTCATTCCAATCTCCACTCCACTTCTTCCCTAACCTCTCTTAATGCTTGAAAAATGTCTCAGTAGACTAGGAGGTTCGTATCTGATTTATACAACTGAAGAAACTGAGAGGTCAGAAAGGTAACATCTGCCCTGCGTGTGTCCCAAGTCCGTCCCGACCCCTGGCGCCCAGGGATCTAGGTCTGCAGTCAGGGTCTGGTCTTCAGGGGGCACCCAGCCGCCTCCGGATTCTCGCCAGTACTGGCGCTTCAGGCAGGCTCCGCCCGTTCCCCGCCCCAGCCTCCAAGCTCCGCCCACAGTCCCGCCCCCGGCCTCCTCCAGGCCCCGCCTCTGACTCCTCCTCTCCCTCCTCATCTAGCTCCAGGCCCCTGACTTCTTTTCTCCCGCCCGCCCGGTCCCGCGCCTCCGCAGAGCGGTCCTCGGGAGCCGGCGAGCGTTCGAGCGCCTGGGGAACTCCGTCCGCGCCGTCAGATCGCCCAGCTCTCATCTGTCCCCGCGTCCCCGAGCCCCTTCTTCCGAGTAAGTGCTTCCCTGGCGCGCGGTCCCGCACGCACCTTCGCGGGTCTTTCCCGGACGCTCGTCGGCGGTCTGCTAGTGGGGGCGCTTTTCGCCCACCGAGAGTTTTGAGAGTGAGCGTGAGTGAGTGTGTGTGGTACTTGTGAGCGAGCATGTGTAGGTGTGTGTGCAGGCACTCACAGCCTGGAAATTCCCCGGAGTTCTACCCTGTTCACGAGTCGCAGCGACAATCTGAGACCGTCGGCTAGGAGCCCCTGCCGACTCTGGCCGACCCCTTAACTTGCACGCCCAGCCGCGAGCCCCCGCGCGGTGCCTGCCTTCCTTCCTTCCTTCTGGGGACGCGGCCCCCGCTACGTGTCACGCCCTCCTGGTAACAGCCCGTGCGGTCGAAAGGGGCTGCCCAGGTTATCAGGGTGCCCCAGATTGCAGAGCGAGATGCTGGCCTGAGATTGTAATCCAACCCTGCATTGTAAAACTGGCAGGAACTAGAGTTTTGCCTTGAGATCAACCGGGGGAGACTTCCATTTGAAGAAGAAAGTTGTGTGTGCGCACAGTATGACACTCGAGCCCTCAGCACCTGATGCAAGAACACCTGATGAGAGCCCTCGGACTCAGGGCGGCTGGTAGGCACTTTCAAGACCAGGCTGATCAACCTCGCTTGGACACCTAACGGATATTTATTGATTCAGTGACACCATATCTTGAAAGCTAACTGATTTCCTACAGCACAGGACTACATAGAAAGAGCTCCTTCTCTGAGGGAATCATGGAAGGAAGGAGACAGTTAGTTGAGTGCCCGGTATTGAAACAACAAAATCCTGGAGTTACTTAAGACTGATAATTCTATCCCTCCAAAAGTTATTTTTATTGGGGGCTAAATACTATCTCAAGTTAGGGCCTATTTTAACATTTAAAAAAAGTTAAATCAATAGCTTTAATTGAGAGCAGTAGTGTACTTGAATCCATTAATGAAATGATTCCCTGGTTGCTGAGGTCCCATCCGATTCTAATAGTCTCTGAATTCTTCTAGCTCTCAGTTTCTTCCTGCTGTGGTCTTTCTGTAGAAGCAGAGATACCCAGAAAATCTCCCCACTTTCTTGATAAGAATCCTTTTAAGGGATGCTGGTAGGGAAATAGCATTTATTTATTCATTGTAGTGTAAGGGTAACAAGAATTCTGTGGCGAAAGGAAGTAACCCTAACAGAATAACCTTTAAGTGGCCATTGTGCATTGGCATATAAAAGTTCAAGTTCTTAAATTACTTTAAGTGCTGCTTACTTATCGCAGCAGATATTTTTATCCTGGTCTGAATCCTGTTACACAAAAGTGTTTCCACAGAGTTTCAACTAAGGAAACATTATGGTTTGAAATGTAAACATATGACTCCATCTCTTTAAGGAAAGAAATAATTATCACACTTAATTAAACACCTGGAAACATTTATTGCCACCTTCTAATTAGATCTGTCATGGGAAGTTAAGTCAGCAAGCTGTTCTTAATACTGTAGCTGGTAACACAGTTACCTTTTTTGTAGGTTTTTTGGGCACCTGTTCCCTGTCCATACACATTAATTGGCTCCCCAAGCCCTTGCCCATCTTTTAAGGATTACCTGTAATTTGAATAAATAGAGGTTAGGGAAGTGGACTACCACTTACCTCCATGTACAATGAGTATCTTAGATATTGAATGTTTTGTATTTAGCTTTTGCATACAGAGGTAGGTTTTATCAGCCATTATATTCATCTAGATTATCTGATCATTTAAGAATCATTAATAATGCATTAATTTAAGATGATTCCCCCAAAAGTGTAGTGATCCTCCACAAATTGGCTTTTAAAATTTTTTCTTAAAGGGAGACTTCTATTGTACTGATGTTCTTGGATGTTTAAGTTTAATTAGAAAGGGGGTGGTGTGAGCTGGAAAATCTCATCTTTGGTGTCTCTTAATTTACTGTGTCTGACTTTATTGCTAGCTATGATCTTCATAGTGTTGTGAGGTGTTGTGAGGACAGGCTGTTCTGGTATCCCAACAGGATGGCGGAAACTGACGGTGAACACCCACATCAAAAAAACCAGAAACAGAGTATTTTATGAGGCCTGTTCTCTGCAGTTCTTCCTTCTGCTGAAAGTGGAGGAAAGGGTGTGCAGAGAGAAATAATTGCATCCAAACAGTACTCATTAGGAAATGCCATGTTGGGGGAGGAGCAGATTTCTAGGTGGTTTCTGGCTTGGAGAACTTCAAATTGCTGATCCTTGAAGTGGAGTCTGCCACAGTGGTGGGCACTACAGAGGTCTTGCAGTTAATTGATCCAATTAATACTTTTCTGCTTGGGATAGTCCCTTAAAAGTGATACATTTCCTTCTTGAAAATGCCATTTGTACCAATCAGAATTGAGCTTCACTTCTGCTCCATGCAGAATGGGTCATGTACCCACTCTCCATTTTTGTTTGGTACACATTGGAGAGACTGAACATGAGGTAGGCTCCAAAAGGCAGGGGAAGGTCAGTGATAACAATAAGCACCACTTGTTTGCTCTCGGAGGAGGCAGGGAGCATTCCTGCAACCCCAGTACCAGAGGAGCTGACTTGGGCAATGGGCTCATGCACAGGGGCCAACCTGGATAAAAAGTAGGCACCTTACCCCAATTTGGCATTCACAGAGAGAATGAGCTCTGCTACAGAAGTTAAGGGAAGGCACCGTGCAACGCCAGATTCTTTTACCATCTTGCCCCTCCTTACACTGCCGACATCCTGTGATTAATATCAAATGCACGTAGTAAGAAGTCAACAAACACTGCGAAGGAGCTTTTAACACCCCAAATTTTATGTTTCCTTGTGAGTAACAATTTCAGTTCTTCCTTCTCTGGCTTTGACTACTTTGGCCCTGGGGTCTGAGCTGACTGCAGTTTCTAGATTTTTGTCCATCAGTGGTACTTCCCAGTAGCTGAAAATGAATGATTCATTGAGAGAGAAAAAAAATAGCAGTGAACTTTGTTGCAAAATGTAAATGAAGTCAAACAGTATCCAGTGGAGGTTAGTTTGAAGTCTACATTTTGGCAGCAAGAGGAGGAAATGACCTAGAAGTAGAGCGTAGATAATTCTAGAATGTGAGAGGTAAGAGGCACCTTAGAAACCATCTAGCCTGTGAATCTTAGACCGTAAAGTCTGCCATTATACAAGATGGGAGGTGTGTACCCTCAGTGCACCTTATGGAAGCATGCACCATTCATTCATGTGGCAGACGGTGACTGAACTACTGTGTGCAAGGCACTGCACAACCCTCTCATGTTCACGGGAAGGCATGGGATCCGAAAGGACTGGTGACTTGCAGAAAAATGTTTGTTTGTAACAATGGGTCCCTGATGGTAAACTGATAGTGGCAAAACTGGGTTCAGAATTCTGTGTTTCATGGTAAAAAGTAAAGGCACTTCCTTAGGACAGCAGAAGAACCATGTTTCAGTTTTTTTTTCACAATCCTAAGAAACTGAAATGAGCACTTTTCTTCTGATGTCTGTTTCAAGTAGCCCGTGTTACAACTGCATTAAATCTAATTCCACAGGCTTTTGTTTTCTTGGCCTTTTATGTCAGGTATAGAAGTTACCTGAGAAACTTGTTTTAAAATGTCACAGGTTCCACAATAATCAGATAATACCTACCCATCCTTTTAGAGAGCAGTTGCTTTTTCTCTAAAAGCAAGTATTTATGGTTCAGAACCAGCTGCAAAGCTGGATGGACGTTAACAAATATGTTTTCCTAGGGTTGTGCTTTTTAATATAGAACTAGAAGAATTATAGACCAACATGACTTTATTTCCCTCACAGTGGCTGAGGGCCAGGCACACAGCAATCTTCCCCACCGAGAAGAATAAAAGGGTGAGGTCCTAGGAATGGGCCTCTGCTGAAGCACTCCATGCTGACTTACAAACAAATCCAGATTTATTTACTTACAGACAAGGGAATTAAATCCCACTTGTTGTAGTTGTCTTAAACATTGGGAATAAAGACGACTTTTAGTTTAGTCAAAAAGATGGTTGGTTCACATGACTACTGGAATTAGCTGTTCGTGTCTCAGCCACCACTGGCTGTGTGACTTTGGACAATCTACCTAAGCTCTCTGAGCCTGTTTCCCTGTGCCCCTCTGCCCCCCCCCCCTCCGAGAAACTGGGGAAGTATTTGCATCATAGGATTGTTGCATGGATAAAACCAGAATGATCTCCTGTTGTCCAATGTGCAGAAGGCATCCAACAAGTGGTAGGCTTTATGAATTGGCCAAATCTTTGTCATTTCAAGAGGATGGCGTTTGTGCTGAGCCATAGTGGTGTAGAGAGGGACAGCGGCAACTTATACTTTATGTGCTTTTAGCATGAACTTCTTTCCCTTCTAACGATGCCAGAAGAGTCCAGAGAATTGAGTGAATATAAAAGTTTCAGTGATTCCCAGATGCAGTCACATGATTGTATAGGGAAATCTTGCTGCTGCTCCAGCTACAGAGAAATGAGCCAGAGTAGGCAGTGCATGTGGGTTTTAGGTGTTTGAGGGTGAAAAATAGCGTGACATCCAGTAAGCCTCCCTGTGTATATGACCCATTACAGTTAAGTTGTGAGTAGTGGTTTGGTCTTTCACTGCTGGAGGCCCTTGTTTCAAACCGGTAATGCACGAAACCGTATTATCTAAGACAGACAGGAAGATGTCTCAGCTGCCCTTGGTGTTGCAAAGGGACTTGGGCTAGCATGTCCTCAGGGGAAATTGTGCCAGTTCTGGAGGTGGAGGGCAGGGGCACATCTGTGGGGTTACCCACTGGGGCCAGCTTTTCTGAGGACCCAGCACTCTTCAGAGCACATTTTACCCATGAATATTTGAAAGGAGCCAAGAAGTAACAAATACTTTCTCTAAGCCTAACTCTTACTGCTTCAAACCAAATTTATTTAGTTCAAGCCTTCTCCACTTTCAGCTGTTATTTTATTTATTTAAAAAAAAATGAGCTTCTGATGACTGTCAGCCAAAG